ATGGGCTGTTCCAGTCCATCCTGACTGATATGGGGTAGTGACTTAATCAGTACATATGAGAAAAATGGAAGCTACACTAAGTACAGGGTTGCATGGCAGTTCCTACATCTCAGTCCAGCACACAAACAGATACCAGCATTCACCATGTTCACCCAACATGGAGCATCTACTCTAGCTCATCTAGTGCTCGTGTGTTCCTAACCAGTGCTCATAATTGTCATCCTGATATCTCAACAGTCAAATTTTCACCACAATTTTCTCTTCACCTTCTCTCCACCCTTCTATTTAATGAAATTCCTGACCTATTCCCAAAGGCCTGGATCAAGTCTCATATCCTGCCCCAGAGACCATGGAACCACTGTTTGGAATATCTGAAAATCCTGTGGTCAGGACTCCTGTTTGGGGACCTCTTGTGTACGTCTTTATCCTGTTCTGTGTTAACAAACCTTTACAAACAGGTGATGATCCAGAAGTTGCTAGCTCATAATATGCCTGCTGAGTTCATTTTTTGAGCTCATAATATTGATGGAGTAGAGTGCAATGCTATGAATATACACATGATATTCTTACTTTAAAATTCTCTTACAGCCAGGTGCCAGTAGCTCATGTCTGTAATCCTAGTTACTCAGGAGGCTGAGATCTGAGGATCATGGTTCAAAGCCAGCCTGGTCAGGAAAGTCCATCAGACTCTTATCTCCCATAAGCCACCAGAAAATCAGAAATGGCGCTGTGGCTCAAGTGGTAGAGCTGAAGAGTTGAGGGACAGCGCCCAGGCCGAGTTCAAGCTCCAGGACCAGAAAAAAAAAATTCCCTTACAAGCCATGTACTGGTGGCTCATGTTGACAATTCTAGCTACGCAGGAGGCTGAATGTAAGAATTGTGGTTCAAAGCCAGCCCAGGCAGGAAAGTATGTGAGACTTTTCAACTAACGAGGAAAAGCCAAAAGTGGAGCTGTGACTGGCAACATGCCAGCCTTGAGCAACCAAACAAAAACAAACAGAAAAACAACCAGGGAAAGTACCCAGGTCCTGAGTTCAAGCCAAGGACTGGTGCACATAAAAATGTTTTACTAAGATATCAAAGCTATTAATGATTTTAAAAAATGGGAACACTCTACATTCCACACTAAATTCTAAAAATGCTGAAGAGCAGCAAGATGACTGGCAAAGGGCTGCTGCTACCCTTTGCTGGGGTCATCTGCCCATGAAGGTCTCCTCCTCTTCCTCCCCCTGTCACCCTCGCATCAGTCACCATTGGCACAGCCTGATCTGCAGGTTGGCACAGGTCTGGGGAAGTGGAGGAGCAGTGAGGAATCAGGACAAGCCAGACCTGTCGCAGCATCTTATGTTATAGAAGAGTTATATGCCACACTGTCATTCCTGGGTCTGTATTTGTTTCTCTTAGCCATTGGGACAAAGTTCCAATGATAGAGCACACTACACCAACCCTTTCAGAGAAGGCAGATCGCAGGTCAGCATCCAGCACTCAACATCACTTCTCATACTCCCCCATCTTTCCCAGGGTTTCCAGTGAGCCCATCTGATAAGGAGGCATGCCAATCAGGTTCCCAATCAGGTCTCCTCCCATTGCTCAACAGCACCCACAACAGGCCAGTAAGTCCTTCAGGTAGTAAATCCTTCTCGAGGTCTAATCAGAGGCTATGGTAGTGTTGCATATTTATTTCCTTTCTTTGGCACTTATATGCAGATAGAGAAGTGCTGGCTTGCCCTTTACCCCATACAACCTTTCTTGACTTCCAAATCCCTGGGCAGCACCTGGACAGGTTTTCTGTATGCCTGCTGTATCCTCAGCATGGTTCATGCACTGACCACACCACACTGAAAGGCTAGAAACCATCACAACGTCCTGACAGATGGTCCAGGGATGCACAGGTCTCGTGGAAAGAGAAGTCAGGATTGCAAACAATCTCTTTCTTTTTTTTTTGTCGGTCGTGGGACTTGAACTCTGGGCCTGGGCGCTGTCCCTCAGCTCTTCAGCTCAAAGCGAGCGCTCTACCACTTGAGCTACAGCGCCACTTCCTGCAAACAATCTCAAATGCAGGCAAATCTCATTTTCTAGCAGTGACCTGGGCTTCTTCCAGTCTCTCTGTAACATACTTTTCCTGTTCTGGGCTCTTGGGGTCCTCATGAGATTTGACCCACTCTACGTTGCCCCTACTTTGTGCCCCTGAAGGGGCTGGGAGAAGGCAATTTTTTCCCCTTACACTAGTTGCAGCAAAAAGAGAGGAAGATACAAAGCTACCTGTGCCACACCCAGGCCTGGGTAGGATCTGTTGCCTGCTATACACAACTTCTTGAAGTTAGGACCTCCAGAAGGTAGGACCTCAGAATCTTCTGCCACCCTCAACCTTCCTGGGCACACAGAGCCAAGGCAGAGCCCTCAGGGCAGCACCAGACAAGCTGCCACTCCTATCCTGACTTGGCCTCAGTTTCTCCTTGAAATGTATCCTTATGTGTGGATGAATGTGGGTTAGTGGAGCAACTCAGTACAGTCTCACATGGTTGCTAGCCACTGAGTGTGAGCAAGGCCCCATGGAGAGCCAGCTCCAGCTCCTACCTTAGCTCTGCACATGGGCTGAAAGCAAGGCAGGTATGTGTACGGAGAACTGTGACATGAGTGTGGGGGTTGGTGGCAAGTTGCTGGGTATGTTCCTTGGGACAGTGGGATGTCTCTAAGGGCTAGTTCTGTGCTCTGGTCATGCCGAAGTTCTTTTTAAGGATGGCTGGGCCAGAAGACCCCATCAGAGCCACACCCATCAGTGCGTTCTTAAAAGGGCAGCTACCTGGGTGCCCTCTATCTGAGGCTCCTGCAGAGCAGGTGTGGGCAGGGCAATGCATGGGCGAGCCACAAGGGGCTTTCCTGGGGCTGCTGACAAGCTCTGATCCTTGCCCAGAGGACACAAGGAGATGGCTGCTCCATGAGGGAATAAGGTTTCAGAGATGAGGCCCAGGGTAGGTGTTCCCACTGGCAGGAGCACAAACATGGATGGGTAGGAGCTACCATGAGCCATGGGCAAAGGCAACACCTAGAAGGGGCAGGGTATTGCGAAGGACAAAAATCTGGCCAACACTGCAGGAACTGTATCATCAGCCAGCCCTAAATAGCCACCAGAGAGAAACAAAATTTCATCTTGTTCATGCAGCCTATGGCTTATTCCTAACAACCTTAGTCTTTGATGCTTAAAACCCAAGTCTTTCACCATTGAACCAAGGCTCTCCCAACCACAGCAGACCTCATTTAAATCTAGGCTGCCAGATTTCCTGCTTCTTCATGCAGTGGATGGGGTACAGCTGTCAGGTCCATACCTCCGCCTCTTATCAGGAGGTATGGCTCTGCCACCTCCTGTGTAGTCCAGCCAGCTTCTGACCTCTGGCTTGCTCTGTGACATATACACTCGCTGTCTGTGCTGGGGTATCTCTATACACCTGAGTCCTGTCCTTCTAAATAGGTGTGAGACCCTGGAAAGCAAGGCCTTAGTGTCAGGTTCTCTTAGAGCTTTGTACCAGGACTCTGCTAATACTGCCACTGGGTGGGTCTCCAAGAAATCCTGCCCATAAATGCCCTGACCTCCTCTGCCTTGGCTCTGAGCATCTTCCCAAAGCACAGGGTAGGCCCCAGCTAGACATAAGCAGGCTGTAGGACTTCCCCAAACTCCAAACACAACCACCACAGGCACTGCCTAGGACCAGATGGTGCCACACGGCAGTGAAAATGGTTTTGACAGTGGTCCCAGGACTGTGGAAGGCCCCACCCAAGAAGCCCCCATCTCTGGACATATCAGAAAAGTGACCCTCAACTCCTACCCAGAGTTCTGCCCTCTGGCTCAACTCTACCTGCCATGAAAGGACCTCCATCTGGTCGGCTCAGAAGGGAGATAATGCAGTAGCCAGGTCACCAAAGGTCTCCCACTGTGCAGCCACATGGCTGCCAACAGAATCCCATTCAAGAATCTTATCAAGATTTCCTGTGTCAGCAACAACGAAACACACACTCAAATCTTGTAATGAGAAAAAACCATCCAGGACAGCTTTCCACCCCCGCCCCCTACCACCATGGAGCAAAGCCTAAGAAAGATCTAGACCCCAAGCCACCAAGCTGCTTCCCTCAGGACAACCTAGAGAAGGACTCATCCAATCAGTACAAGGGACTGAAGTAGTGGGCAGGGCCATGTGTTTCCCAGCAGTTGTGGGACCAGGGGCTATGGAGTCTGGGCTGGGGCTGAGGCTGGGTAAGTGGTTTTCTGAGCTTTTAACGCATAGACTCTGAAATGCATGGATGAGGATCAGTGGGCCAGCTGAACCACTGGAAGATGGGGGCCCACAGGTCACTATGCAGGTCTGGAAAAGCAGCTACCCACTTCCCTCTACTCCACACATCCCACTGGGGATCCTTCACAGGACCTTACAGGCCATATAGAAGGCTCCTGGCTTAGTTGGTGCACTGGGAAGATGGACAGACCTCTGGTGTCCTCCTACGAGCTGCCCCCATCCCTCCCTCTGAAGACCTGGAGGGAAGTGTTCCCCTTCCCCCCAGAACCCCAGTAGCATCAAAATCCAGAGTCTTGGTGTTTAGGGCGGGGGCGGTCCATCAATGTTAGCTCATGAACCTCCAATTCAGTCACCTGGCTTCCTGGGTAAAATATTCTACCATCATAAGGGTATGTTTCAGACCATCTCTCCATTGCCTCTCAGTGCACACCTGGATTATTTCCAGGTGTTTGCTATTACATTTATTACTACTAGAAAGACTGAAGAATAGGTATGTTTGAGGCAGGGTACATCACTGCAGCCAAAGAATTAAGGGCTTCCCAGAGATACAGACAACACCCTGCTGTCTCTTCCATCTCCCTAATTGTCCCACATCCCCACCTCTCAGAAGCCACAGGGACCCTAGGGACCAGGCCAGCCTAGGGACCCAGAGAAGCAAGACCCCCGATGACACCCGCCCCCTACACAACAAGCACAGAGCTGGTCCCCTACCTGCTGTGGGGGAGCTCGTCCTCGGGGGAAGGAGCAGCTGGTGTCTAGCTGCTTGCTGCAATCCGCTGTCCACTGCAGGGCAGAAAGGAAGAAAGGTCAGTGATGGCAGGACACACAGGCACAGCCTCACTCTGCCTAGCTCCCAGATGCCCACTGCACCTCTGCAGCAGGGCCAGAAGAAAATCCTGACAAGGTATTTTCAATGGCAAATCCATCCCTATTATCAGGTCTAAGTGCAGTTATATTCTGAAGCCAACCACACATGGTGCCAAGATCCTCAGATGTGTAGATGACCAAGATCCAGCTCTGATCACTTGACCTGGTTCTGTCCATCCACATGGGTGTGGCTGGAGCTGGAGGAGACACAAATGTATGTCTCTGCTTGGCTTGTTATATCCAGTTACAGGTGACAGATATGGCCTCAGGATGAGCTCCAAACTGGCTGCCAGTTGCCAGGCTGAAGTCTATTGAGCTGGAAGGGCTAGTCTATTCCCAAGTATGAGCTGATGAGTACTGATACTAGAGTCCCTAAGGTCTGCTGTATAGAGATTCTAGGTCTCACTCTCTACCTATTGACCTAGATTGAGAGGTTGTGGCCTGAGGACCAGTACTTTTGAGGAAAGTTAAGAGAGCTACTGACACCCATGCAATCTCTCAGGCTTCATTCTATATCATCTATGAAGTGGGGACACCATGCCAGACAGCGCTGTGAAGTAGAGATGAAGGCTCTCTATAAGAAGCGCTGTACAGCCACAACAACACAGTGGGACCGTGGCAACTCCTCAGTCAAGTGTTGGCAGCCTTGTGGTGGTGTCTCTACTGTCTTGTAGTGTGATAGCCTGGAATGCTGCTAAATACGACCTTCACTCCTGTGATAGACACACACACATGAGATGCAGAGGGGTTCGGCTCTGTTTGACACCTCAAGTCAAAGCTGCTTGAGTGTGATGGTTCCAGGACAATACTGTCCTGGTTTTCTAAAATCTTGGTCCGAACACCCGCCTGACAGTGAGTCAAGGGCATGCGCTCTGGATGGAAAGGCCTTATGATGTTGTGAAGGCTGGGTTCCAGTGCTCCACAGTTGCTCTAATTTATACTTTCCTCAAAAGCACTGGTCCTCAGGACCCAGTCTCTCAGTTGCTCTAACAAAATAAAATGAGATCCACAGATAGGAGTCAGGGCTTGACTTTACATTTCCTATTAGCCAGGTTATGTGTGTGTGTGTGTGTGTGTGTGTGTGTGTGTGTGTGTGGTGTACGCATGTGCATGCATGCACATGTGCTAGTCCTGGGGTCTAAATTCAGGGTTTGGATGCTGTCTCTGAGCTATTTTTGCTCAGGATAGCACTCTACTACTTGAGCCACAGCTCCATTTCTGGCTTTTTGGTGGTTAAAGATAAGAGTCTCATGGGCTTTCCTGCCTTGGGCTAGCTGAGAGTCATGATCCTCAGCTCTCAGCCTAGAGTAGCTAGTATTACAGACATGAGCCACCACAGCATGGCATTAGTAGCCAGATCTTTAAGAACAGGTAAATTATGTTAAATAATATGCCACACATAGCCCAAGTATCCAAAATATTACCACTTCAATAGTGTTGATAAAAATGAATTTTATTTATATTTCTGTCAGTTTTGGGGCTTGAACTCAGGACCTGGTACAATCCCTGAGCCTCACTGTGCTCAAGACTAGCACTCTACCATTTGAGCTACAGCACCATTTCCAGTTTTTGAGTAGTTAAGTGGAGATAAGAATCTCATGGAGCCGGGCGCTGGTGGCTCACGCCTGTAATCCTAGCTATTCAGGAGGCTGAGATCTGAGGATTGCGGTTCAAAGCCAGCCCGGGCAGGAAAGACCGTGAGACTCCTATCTCCAATAAACCACCAGAAAACTGGAAGTGGCGCTGTAGCTCAAGTGGTAGAGCGCTCGCCTTGAGCTGAAGAGCTGAGGGACAGCGCCCAGGCCCAGAGTTCAAGCCCCACAACTGACAAAAAAAAAAAAAAGAATCTCATGGAGTCTTTTCTGCTAGATCTTGCTTTGAACCACAATCCTCAGATCTCAGCCTCCTGAGTAACTAGGCTTACAGAGTAAGCCACTAGTGCCTAGAAAAAGTGAAAAATTTTTATAGTTTAATTTCCATACTAAGTACTGAAATCCATTCTGCATACATCTGAGATGAGTCCCACGTTAAGTACTTCAGAGCCACATATGGTCAGAGGCTCCTCTATTGGGAGATGGCAAAGATGGTAGACCCATTCCATGTCCATTCTGCTCCATATTGTAGAAGGGCTGGCCTTCCCAGGCTCCTGGATCAGCTAGCTTCTGGCTAGACTTGGCCAGGAGATCAGAAGAAGGAAGGAGCCAGTGTACTTTCCCCCTCCCTTTTTCCCCTCTATCTTTCTCCTTTCCCATTTTCCCCACCTTCCTCTTCCCCCCTTTCCACTTCCTCCTCCTCTTCCTCTTCCTCCTCCTTCTCCTCTTCTTTTTCTCCTCCTCCTTTCTTCTTCCACTTTTCTGCCTCTCTCCATACCCTTCTTTTTTTCTTTCTGTTTCCTACTCTTTACATTAACCTGTAACAACCTGGTCTCCTTCAAGACTCTAGCCCTCAGCAGATACAAGTTACACTGACACCACATTAAGATATGATAATGGCTAACTGTAGGTGCTAATTTATTTCCGTTAGCCTCTTAGCTCTTTTATCATCTGGGTAAATAATTCCCTAGATTAAATTTCTGCTTGTGGAGAATTGTAATCTCAAAATATCTCTCCCAGAACATTTTATTAATTGAAAAATAAGAAATCCATCAGTCAACACTTTAACTAAATGAGAGAGGTTAACAATACCAGTAGTAAAACATATCCACACTGTACGCTGAGCATGCGCATCACTTTTGAAATATTTGCTCCAACTACTCAACCTTAATGTAATTACAAGAAATGCCATACAACCCAAATCAATGAATATTGTCCAAAATCAGTGAGCAGTGCTCAGACCAAGAAAGCATCACAGATCTAGGGCCGAGTAAGGAGAGATGACAAATGTAAATTTGGACCTTGGAACAGAGAAAGGGAAATTAATAATAAGTTGGTAAACTCTGAGTGAAAGTCTCTAGTTAACAGCTAGTTTCCTTGTTCTGATCACTGTTCCAAGGTTATGCAAGATGCTGTATTAGGGGAAGCTGTGTGACAGTAAATTCAGAATGATTTCTGTGCCTTGGTTATAAGCCTAAAATAATTGCAAAACAAAAAGTAATGTGCACACATATGTACATATGTACATTTGCACCATGTAATTTGGTCTGACCTAAATATAATTACAATGTATATACATGTGTGTATGTTTATGTATATGTTTAAACTACTGTACAAACAATCCCTCTGTTGTATATTGGTATGGTTTCTTATCCCCCGGATGAATAAGGTAACTACTACTGCTGTTCCTTCCCTTCCCAGTGTCCCAGAGATTTCAATCACAGCTGAAGCGGCATCCCATACAGCTGTGAGTCAGGGGTGGTCACAGCTCCTCCTGGGGCTGGTGTGGCTCCTGGCAAGGTGGGACCTACCACAAGAGACAAGCCTGCATAGAGAGGATGGTGCAGCCTACATGTTTGCAGGCAGACTTGCTCTGCTTGGAGAAGTGTCCCAGAGTGAAAGCTCCATGCAGAGGGCTTGCTTATCAGTGGTCAATTTAGATTCATACGTGTCCACCAAAAGTCCTGGTCTCCTTCTGTGTGCCTCCCCCACCAAGAAAGAAGAGGTCCCCCAGCAGCCATGCAGGGAAAACAGAGGATGTGTGGTGGAAGGGGAGGTCATGGTCTCCACAGGGGCTGTGAGGGGAGGGACATGGGTAAGCCATGGTCCCCTGACAGGAGCCATCCAGACAGGTGAACAGGAGGAAGGGATGCTGGATAGCCATGGACAGGGGCTGGAGCTTCTGGCAAGGAGCAGTTAGAGAGGTAGAACTTGCTCATGTATGGTTTCTTAGTAGCAGTGGGAGAGGTACAGGGATGGGAACAGAGAGAGTGTGGACCAGACAAGCAGCAGCAAGTGGGATAGTCTGTGGAGTTCAGTGATGGAGCCCACAGGAAAACAGAGGGACCCATCAAGGCTGGACACAAGCATCACCCCCAGTAGAGGCAGAGGCTGACTGGGTGGCTTTCTTGACATCTAGGGAGGCACCAAGGAAGAATGATCACCCTTGTCACCCCAAGCTCTATCCTCTAGACTTGAGGGGCTCCTACCACCCAGCAGCCCAAGGCATCATCCTCTCCAGGTCACCCGCCTGGGTGACTTCCACAAGGGACCCGCATGTTAGCCCCTGTCCTCAGAGCCCAAGCTTGGGAGCTCTCTCTTCCCTTCCAACCTCTTCCCATCTTGGCAGGGTTCTTCCCTCAGCATCTCCTTCCTTCACATCCTCTGCCTCCCTTTGTTGCCTCTGAGTCACCTCTCTGAAATACCCAGACAGACCTCCCCAAACCATTTCTAGATGGTTCTAGAGTAGGACAGGTTTGTAGACAACGTGTCTGAACCCTCACACACAGGTCACACCAGCTTGCAGCTTGGGGCTTCCTGACAATGCATTCCCTTAAGGAGGTAAAGGTGGTGTCTTGTAAACCTCATTGATGGAGGCAGGACACGTGGGAAACCTTTGTATATAAGAACAATGCATATGAAACTCACTAAAATAGTTTTAGGGCTTCAACTAGAGCCATCATAATTTATATCTTAACTGAAAAATCTGGAATAAATACTACACAGGATTAAGATTTGATAAAGCCAGGCACCAGTGGCTCACGCCTATAATCCTAGCTACTCAGGGGGTTGGGATCTGAGGATCATGGTTCAAAGCCAGCCCAGGCAGGAAAGTCCTTAAGGCTTTTATCTACAACAAACTACTCAGAAAACCAGAAATGGTGCTGTGGCTCAAGTGGTAGAGCTCTTGCCTTGAGCTGAAGAGCTGAGGGACAGCAGCCAAGCCCAGAGTTCAAGCCCCACAACTGACCAAAAAAAAAAAAGATCTGATAAATACAGATGTATAGACATGGATTCTGCACTTGAAATGGATGTTTGAAATGT